CCAAACATTAGATAATTCACGACGATTGAAAGATTTCTGCGTCGATTGAAGAAATGTCGTAATTTAGTTGAAATTCTGCCATTAGGCCAAATCCACTACACAAACACTATGAATTTTCTCAAGATTTCTTCTTGAGCCACCTATACACGAAGTTTAGCTGTGCATCGGAATCTGCCTTACACTGTTAACAAGGATCAGCTGAACTTCCGACTGCCATTTGACAGATGCGATCACGCAGTCATCGTTTTTTCGTGTGGGTACTCATGTTGTGAGATAGAGCGTTACCTTGGCCACGTTGTTTCGTAGATCCGTATTTCTTACTGAAATTTTAAGTCAGCAGTTCTGTTGTTCATCTCCTTTACGGACTTGCTGTTTAAACAATAATTATTTTCTATGATCCAAATATCGAGAGTATATGTTTATAGTCGGTGACCACTTTGAATTATCTACCAAATAGGTCCCTGTGAAACCCACTCACTGCAAAAACCATCGTCAGCGCTTCCTTCTGATACAGGCTGCAAAATTTGTTTGCAACTGCCAGCGACCGTCCTGCTTGGGCAATGGCCTACTCTTCTCTTTCTGGATATATGTAGGAATTGGTAACCCCTATCTCAAAATTGGATGATTCCGAAATAAAAACAGTACTCAATTTTGTGCTGTAGACGCCACGATTAAATCAGAACTACTCGCATTCTATCAGTGCCAAACGTTGTTGGCACTCTTTGTCCATCGCCATTCTTTGTCTTTCATCAGCAACTCGTTCAGCGGAGCTGTTGTCTGATGTAGAATTGGCTAGAAAACACCATGAGTTTTAACATGACCAATGAATGCAAAAAGTACGGCAGCATCTGTTAGTGGCAGCATTTGCTTGTCTGCTTCTACATTTGTGTCTAATCAACGACTAAGCCACATTTTTTGCAAAGGCGTGGGCCCAGGTTACTAAATACTGGAGGGTCCGTAATCCATCTCCAAACTTAAACGAGATGACAGCTTTGGACTTTGCCAATATATAAAGAGTATATTTTTCCGTAGCTAGGAGGAAATAAACCGAGAATAACATTAGCAATTGTCTTTCGGTGGGCGTTGAATGATAAACTTAATCAGAGATGTCCTTCCGTCCTAGCTGGGTTTACTGTCTTCCTAGAAACATGGAATTCAACTGCTACGTTCTGCACTCTCTAGGAAATTCTGTAATTGGAACTATGCCCAAAATTTGACAGGACAATTAGAGTAGCTAATGAAAGTGTACGATGACAAATGTACGTTGAATAATGGTAGATGCTTGGATAAGTGTTTGTAAAACTGTTTGGAAATATAATAATTGGTGGAGCGGATACTAGTTTTATATCTAAAGGAACGTTCTTACTTTACACTTCAAAAGCAAATTGCAAATATCTGCGGACAACAATTTATGCCAATTACTAGAAATGTTTAAAATAAGTTACCAGTACAAATTCACAGATTTTCTGCTCTACATGGGCCAGGGATGCGATTTGTTCAAATGCTTTTATTGTAATTCTTGTTTAATAAATAGAGAAAAATTGTTTGTTATGTCTATGACATCATGAAAACGAATATGAATGCTTTGAATTTAGCCGCATATTTTTGTCCGTTTTGCCAGCTGTTTGACGAAATATGGATATAGACGATGTGTACATATGATATATTTATCAACCTCGTAAAACATATTTTTATTTACATTTAACTTTGGTCAGTTATTACTCGTTTTTTGCATTCTGGATTCAATAAGACCACCGAAACAGAGGCCGTCATATCTTAAATAGATATATATATTATATATCTTACCACCAGATCAGTATGGAGTTGACCAGGTCTAGTTCTACAAACGTACTTGATATTTGACCTCTGCAATTGGGCTGCAGTTGTGAATGCTGGTGTGTTATTTACCGAGGTTTTCCTAGAATTCGCAATTGCCCTGGACATTCTGAATCATTTGGTTCTCATTCAAAAGATACAGATCTCCATAATCTGTGCTACTAGGTATGGTGAATTAGGAGCTATTCTAATGCAGCAACATCTGTAGGTGTGACTTTACAGCACCATATCCGAACTAAGTAAAGCTCAGCATGCAGTGACACAACGTAAAAATGTTTCCATATTTATTTGTGATATGTAAAATTATCCGCAATTTGCTTTTTCAATGCTGATGACCTTCATTTAATTGTGTCACCCAAAGTATGCGACACTGTGTCACTGAGTTAAGTCATCTATTGGGTAATTGAATGGTAGATAGATGGAGAAGCTCCGTTATAACGTTGCCCTGGGTAGGATATGGCGAGTACACTATGAATGCACGCGCAATACTGGCCACGGGAATAATTATACAGCGCCTTTTTATCAAATACAACCAAAGTGTGTTGGTTTTAAATGACTTTTACGTGCGATACCACTAAAGTTACTTTGACGATTCCTTAGAGAACATCCAACCAACAAATGAATTATTTTAAATTTCATGAATTAGCTACGACTCAGCCAGAATCACCCAGATGATCAACGCCCTACTGTGGCCCGATTTTAAAATACATCAGTCATGGATAGCAGCAACGGCTGATGCATCATTTTGCAGCGCATGCAATCTGACGAGTGTGAGTGACCAAGAAAAATAGTTGATTTTCCAATTGTTCTTAGCAAATGAGAAAGAAAGTGCTTAGGTAAACCGTAATGCCTCAGATACTACGAGCACTAAATCGCTTTTGTTGCCGTATAGTATAACTAGAACATTTGACCACACGGAAAGATCATCAGATAAATCTGCTCAATTGATTACCCACAGAATTCCTTCACCATTCATGTATACCAATCGTTCAACGCCGTTTTAATTTATGCTGTATCTTCACTATTTTTAATAATATGTTTAAACGTATTTAATGCGACAGTCATCTATTTATAGAATGTGATTAGGCACTTCTTACTCTCGTCAATAAAACATGAATACCAGTTAGGGGTGAGCCAAATGAAGGCAAACTTAGCAACAGGAAACAATGAATAATCACAAATTACCAACTTTACTTTTATAATGTTCCCCGCCTGAGAGTTCTACACTTGGCCTCTGGCATTATCCAAGATAATCTTATGTAGCTTCCAGTCACAAACCGCTTGGGTTGATTTTTTGTTTTTCTGCTATTTGCGTGTTTCGTTTGAATTACGTTACATTGCGTTGTACTGCTAATGCATCGTCACCACTAGCTTTGATCACGGCTAACATCTGGGCTGAAATCATATTTATTGATACATTCATCTATTTACATAACATGATTAGGCCCTCCTTACTATCGTCAATGAAACATGAAAATGAGTTTGCTCTGCACCGCTTCATGGTATGGGCACCAACGGCAAATTATTTGATGTGACCATGCATGCTATTACTTACAAACCATAAGAGCAGACTTGCATATTCTATTGAGTATTGTGACATTACACAGTGAACTTGGTGTGAGTTAGATGCAAACTGCGAAGTCACACTTAAAAACATCGCAGGAGGAAATGATTTTTATTTCACTTGCAGCGGCAACGCAAATTGTTTACTCTGGTAATCGTGAAATAGTATGTGGGGAGTCATATTGTCGAAAAGTTTTAGAGTTACAGGTGAAAAGTTTTAACCGACACCAGCGTTAGCATTTCGATATAAATGGGGAATCCACGTAGCATGTTTCTTGCGTAAACCAGATTTTGGTAGAATGCATGCTGAATCAATCCAATTAGACGTGGCACGCTTTCACTGCATTGATCTTCATGTTTTGGGCCAAAAATTATTTTGGATTTTGAAATTTATTTGACCGCCTACGTGCGAATTGTCTTACGACATTTGTGGCATATGTGCTTCCATTTAATATTACACATATGTACTCGCAAATGTACATAAGCCTAATGAGGAGTTTGACTCAGAGCATTCAACACCATTACAAACGATCGGCTGCCGTGAGTATCAGGATATTTCTACTCGCTGAAGGGCGATAGCATCTTTTTTCATTCCTATACATTTTCCTTGACCGATTACTCAAACTCAGCTTCATTATTGTGGCTAGGTAACTGATTTTGTCCACACAAGGAAATGCCGATTGCAATCGCAGTCCTTTTAAGGCAGGGTAAACTTGCGTAGTTTAATTGAAATTCACCGTGCTAATGATTGCTCTTCGAATGTTTTGGTTGCACACACTTTCATGCAACTATTTAAGTTGCGTTTTCCGTCAGTACATGTGATTTTGTTAAAAAAGGAATGTACTCATTACATTCCACTGTGCTGTGGCTTAGGCAAAACACGTAGTTTCCGTGACTATTAAACAGGAGTGGAAAAGCTGAACATACGTTTAATTAATTTAAAAAATAATAATATTGAATGGCAGTCAAATTTCCAACAGTACACAATGCAAATGTTCCTAATGTTAGCGTTTACAAATTATTAGAAAACATTCATCAAAATGGTCTCATAGGTCAAAGTAAAGAATTAACTAAATCTGAAATCAGCAGAAAATGTTGTAGGTATATTAGAAACACCCACAGCATATTCTTTCTGTACAGCTTACATAGCACTGCTGCTTAAATCTTAAATGAGTTCATTAGAAAAGGCATTCACCTATATACAACACTGGTGTAACATTTGAAACCAAAGGGAAAACTGTGAGGCATACAAATGTTTGCAGTGGTATGCTTAATTTTTTCCCGTTACTCTATTTTTACACTTTACCTGCAATTTGTTATCATTTAGTTTTAGTTATGTAAGAACTTGCGGCAGCCTGTTGCTGTAATTGGCATATGTATTGATTGGGAGCATATATATGTAAATTTATACCGGGTATGTTTACATCAAAAACTAGAAAACAGTTCTGCGTTAAAAAGTATAATATTCCATATATGTTATACTTCCATTAGTTATCCTTATATGGACGAATACGAATGAATAATTAAACAAATAGCAGTAACAAAATGATAATAAACTATATACCGACAAAGCTTTATTGCGGTAGAATTCCACTACTTACTGAATGATAATGTAGCATTGAATATATTTCCTTCTTCACCTGGTGCTGAGAGTACAACAGTCATCGTGTTTGAAGAACCACGGAGTTTTCGGTTGAAGGAAGGTGTGTTCTGCACAAAAATATGAATGACTTCGGCACCGCAATCACGTCCGTCCAAAATTCTTAGGGATCCAGAACGAGTTTTAAACTGTTAGATACAAACCAATCCGTACATATTTGTATGATCTTCCATTGATTTGTTTATCGTTTCAGAGAAAAGCTGCGGCAAATGGGCATCGAAATCTAGTTAACTGGCTAGTGCATTTTGTGTATTTTAAGGTAAATAATTTGTAGCGTGCAATTATTTTCATGTGGAACTCCAATGGAAAATCCGCATTCTACTGCTTACATCCTGATGTTAATGTGCGAATGCATTTCATCATGGCTGGGAAATCAATTATATTGGTATAACAGTTTCGTCTCTATGTAAGTGGATGGGAAACCATATTCCAAAACAGGTCTCTGTCATTACTAAATATCAGACACGAGGGTAGGGATTAAGTTTCGATTTGTTAGCCTCATCGATTGCTAGGCACATCTACATTACGGGTCAGGAAGTTGACCCGGAGGTGGCGACTATGGTAATTTATCGCATTACAAACGCTAAAATACTCAAATACGCTGAGGCTATTTCAATCTATCGTAATCGCCCTAAACCCTGTGTACAAAAGCAGTTGATTTTGTGGATCTTATTTTGTGTTTCATCACTTCTGATTCTGTTGTGGTCTTCGACATTCCATGTCTACTTCATATTACCTCCAGCATTCGAACTGAGGATTTTTTACTCAGCGTTCGTTTTATATATTGTCCCTTTGCATGCATTCAAAGAGCATGGAGTTATATTATCTTGCAAGACTCGTCTTCATAACGTATTATTTGGAAGATTAAAACCTCCGGATTATAATTTCTACAATGTTTCTTTTTTATAGTTTTAAACATTCCCATCAGGTGTTTTGTGGGATTCCCCTCATTTGGACTGCGTCCCAGACAACCTACTCGCGAGCTAATAGAGCGCTATGAGCAACGCTTTGAACTATTTAATATTTACCCGTGTAGATTTTTGTTGAAAACCACCTACTTACCTACTCGACTGCGGACAGTTTGTTAATATTATCTGACATACTGCACAAACACCGATGCGAAGGAAGCAGTGTATTAGCCGTGACTGACTAGTGGGACTTTGCCACAATTAGCCATATGTTTATTGCAGAACAGATTTGTATTTTTCCATGTATTGGTACAGGTGGACAAATATCTAGCATGCTTTTTGAAAGCTTTTTTTCTGTTTTCCAATATAGTTAGCCAGTACTTCTGTTGTTTCTGAATTTTTGGCCGCGAAACACTAAGATATATATGTTGTTTGATTTAACCCAGCCCTAGTATCCGTGCATCCATTTGCTGATTTATTAAGTAGGTTGAACGGTAGACACGATATTTGCTGCTTATTTCCGATGCGTGCTAATTTAGGCAAGTCAAATCACCCAGGTGTACAGCCGCATCCCTTACATCATAAATCATTTATATATTGGGTTCCATTTAATCACTTAACCTACTACTTAGTCAACTGGATTAATGTAAACATGCACACACGTTTGCGGTCTTATTTCTGGTTTGCAAGTACCGTCAGCCGATTGAGAACTGATGACGAGGCGAATAGTCCACTATCAAAGCTAATGTACGACTGCATTTAAACCCAACTAAGCCTATGTGCATCCCATTGTCCAAAAGAACTCCCAGTTTATGGTTCGCTTCAGTTTACAAGGCATCGGCGTCAAGGAATAGAATTTTGCAAAGAAATAAAGATTGCAATATTGGCATGGATCTATAAGTAACCAGGACAACAACAAATAACAGTATTTCTTGTGCGAAAGCACATCTAATAGTTGTGTGCAAAAATTATCGCAGTATATATGTTTCATAATCAAGGAGTGACCTGTCGTGAAAGTGAAAGCAAATGAAGCGTTATGGGAATACCTCACATTGAAAGAAGTCAAATAATCGCTAAATGTCTACACTTAAAATTCATAACGCGTAATATCATTCCAAACAGTAGCGGTGGCTAGATAGATTCAATGAAACAACAAACGCTTCTTTGCGTGGCCATCTGCCTGTAGCTGCTGGTTTGCTAACCAGGTTACTCCGTGCTGGGAACTTAGCTATAAATTCGCAGGAATAAGGTTGTCGATTTTTGTGGTTTACCGGAATTATTTGGCCTTGCTACAACTTGCTGCACATTATTTTGAACTAAATTAAAAATTCTGTCGGAATCGAAAATATGGTCACAACACCTCAATGCCGAAGATTTTTGCTATACTAAAAGCTTTCATTTTCCATTGTACATGTGTCAGCTTGCGTAGTAGGCGAAATTGGAGGCTGGCGCTAGTGTTTATCATTAATGGCTTGCTTTACTTCTTATCTGATTATGTAAGAATTGTTGCTTAGTTTAAACATTCTCTCTCATTCCATCTGTCTTTATTTATTGATGCATTTTTGTGCCCAACATCCTCAGTTCACGGAATTTGGCCTCAAATTGCTGAACTCCTTATGTCATTGGCTGTTATTTGGTATTCATTAGCCGCTCTGAATTGTAAGCTCGATAATATTGCTTTTGTTCAGCCATAAGCAATTGCGCAATCTCGAAATTTTGATCACAATGCAAGTTTGCCGCGAATGAAGTCTTCGCGTCAAGTTAAGATCGCATTTCAATAATCTTAAACAAAAATATTCATTTAGATTATAATGCCCCATCAGTTCTATTCATTGTGTACATCCATAGTCCCAAGTTGAAGGAATTATTGCTTGTGTTAGGCAGACATTGCAACTCACTGAAGACCGTGTACATATGCGTAACAATGCTTCTTGTCTTTCGTCAGATAAATCATAGACCTTGATTAATGAGTACTGGTTTATCCTCGGAAAGGAGTTTAGAGATTCTGACACAATCACTGCAGGGATAAACAATTCGGCTGACAAGATTTAATCGTCTATACGACTGAAAATATACTGGCATATTTAGACTATTTCTGGTACGTTCATTAGGAATTAAATAATCCTAAAAGTTATCGGCATAAAATTACGACTTTTGGTCGACCAACGGTCAATAGTCGTAGGTATAGTGCGAAAAACACCGAAGCTTGTCACATTCCGCCGAATGACCAGTTAGGGCTGAGGAAGATAGAGGCAAAACATACCAACTGGAGATAGTGAATAACCACAAATTGCCAACTTTCCGTTTACAGTATTCCCCGTCTGAGCGGTCCACGCTTAACCTGAAGCAGTATCAAATGTCTTCCTCTGTAGCTTCCAAGGAAAACTAGTTCGGTTGATAGGTTTTTATTCTGCTGTTAGCTTGGGTCGTTAGAAGTACGTGACATGGGGTAGTACGGCTAATACACAGTACAAACTTGCCTTGAAAACGGCTAACGTGTGGGTATTCCATTGGTGGCCAAGAGGCAGCGAATGTAAGTTCCTTCGACACGTCAGCGAACTGTATTATTCTACAGTTTGAGATAATGGTTTCCCACGCTGTTGTTGTACCAGTTACAACAGGTAACAAACGGAGTACCAAGGTTGTTTTCGAATCTGGTAAATAATTATTGGGTCACATCGAAAACGCCGATAAAATTCACTGAGAATACTTAATACTGTTAGGAGTTTTTCCTAGCATAAGTGGCGTAATCTCCAGAATTTTGGTCGCCCGGATTCGAAGAATCTCAAAGGCAGTTAGATCCCACTTCAGCCATGATTTCCATGTTTGCAATGCATGTTTTACGTAAGGGCATGTGTAAGTGGGATCGTATTATTCGATACATTTCTGAATTCTTTCGAGCAGCCTAGTCTTTGCTGGATCTACAGACACGGAATCTTTTGAAAGAGCATAGTTGGAGATCTCGGTCAGCCAGCATTTAAGTGTGATTCATTCGGTGTGAAACCTGGATACCTTAAACTTTGTCTACATTACAGGAAAGGGTGACTTTTAAATGTTTAGGTCCAATATGGATAGCCTGTTGACATGACCTTGAAGCGTACAATTTGAGACAGTCTTGCAGATCGGTTTTGAATTACTCACCTGGTGTCATCTTTAGACTTTAGAGCACATAGGATGGGAGCATCAGTGACTAGAACTTGACTGAAGTTCCGTTACAATAGTCTCAGTGCATCCAACAAGGTGAAGTCCATCTTAATTGTAGACGATTTTGAGGGTAAACAAAAGTCACTAGGCCCATGTCGTTCCCAATTGACCATAAGATAGACCAAATAGATCAGGCTCTTTGGTTTCCAAATCTCATATGAGTTCGCACTGGAGATTGATACCAAGGTACAGGTCTACCCCACCACCTTCTCTAGCTTGATCATTCCGGATTTGGACATCATTTTTCTCACTGCAAAACCATGTTTTCATGATAGCGATGATGACCCAATATGTTGACGCATGTCGCAGTCTTTATTCAGCTAATTTGCTAGGTCGGCCTTAGGTATTTGTGTAAATGCAGGAGAGGATCCCACAGACCAGAATCGTGTGGATGTGATAGATGAAGTGAGTGAGTTTATTCCGAAAGATCTAGGGATGGCAGCTAGTACATTTTCTGAACGCTTGCAAACTCTCAAGGGAAATGTTGGATATATCCCATAATCAGATGCTCCGCATCCACGAGACCACTCATCTTTAGTTTTGTCTCTTTGAAAATTAAGAATACTGTTCATTCTGTCACATCGTCGGATCCCACAGTATGTGTTTTTGTTCAGATTGAAGTTCCACCGGGTTGTTAATAGACCGTGTTATATTCAGACGACTTTCTGTTTGCAACCTGATAAGGAACTTGGTTTAATTATTTAGATGCGTTGGTGTCGTCAGTTCACACTGTAACACCTTTTCCAAAAGCCTGTGGCCACACACAATTTCGTTAGTTGACATGAAGATCTTTGTCAAATAGTTACCGACTAACTCCTTAGCGAATGGGCTTCACAAATGTAACGGCTTTACTCCAGGAGATTAAGTCCTTGATGTGTAGTTTATTTAGGACTTCTGGGTCGCTTCTTAGATCAGAGTGGGTAGTCAGATTTGTCATTTAAAAACACAGGTGCAAATTTGTTTCTATCATAGGTGCAACTTTGGCGCTTACTAGTTGCTCGACTGCTCCTGTTTGTCCTTCATACTTATTTGTAGTACGTTTGAGCTAGCGTCAAGGATAGTACTTCATAACTTGCAAAACCAAAACACCCATGTCGTTCCACGGTACCGTTTCCTTTTTATCTGCTCAATCGTATACACTACATTTGACATGATGTCAAACAAGTAGAGCACATTACCCTATTCTATAAAAATTTAAAACAATATACCCTTACTCTTAACGCGAGGCAGTTTAGCAAGGGTCATGTAGTAATAAAGCCACGCGGTACTCAGATAATCTATCAGGACAGTTTCCCTCGTTGCCGGTATGCGTGAGACATGGGGTTGTAGATGGCTCTCTGTCTATCGGGTTCTTTATAAAAATAATTTTAGTGATGGTCGGTTGATTGATGGATTTGTGGCCCAGCTGGTTTTGGAACTGGTAAATAGATTTAAAGCAAATCTGAAACAGATTTAGTGTTTGGAAATTCCGGCACTAATAAGCTGAGAAATATCGGAGTAGAACATGCTTGCGCTTTTGGGACTGCTTTGAGAAATCTGTATCGAATCCTGTTATACAGAAGGATCTATGGCTGAACTTGATTAAGCTATCCGTCTGTATGCAATCCCGAACAGTTTGTGATACTGAGGACTTTAATCATAACGATAATTCCACTTATTGTGGAACAATTGGGATGTCGTGATTCTGAATCATATAAGTTTAGAATGCCCATGCCCAGCTTTTTGCAAGGCCCATAGGCAAACCGTTTTACTAAGTTGTCCAAGAAGGTGTCGTTTTTAAATGTAAATATAACAGTTTTTATTCAAATATCTTCATTGCCTAGTGAAACCGACTATATTTTAAGTATAGGTCTTTACACATATAATGATGTAAAATAAGTCACATTTATTAGAAGAGCTTACAACGAGGTCAAGGATGAATCTTTCTATTAGTCTAAGGTGACTTGCAATACGATAAGAAAATAGAAACAGTGGTATGATTTCTTTAACCACAACTCATTGTGCGTTGTAACTGTGAGGTCACCGTAGAAACAAGCAACTGAGGCATGCTGATGCAATGGCTGAATGCTGAAGTTGCTTATTCAAGTATACTTATTATGCTATTACATGGGACACTTGAGGTTTTGATAACAATCTGGGGCTGAAAATTCCAAAACGTCGTAATCAAAGATGTACTGCTATAATAAAATGCTTGCATCTAAAAATTCAGTCTACCGAATATTTATAACTAAAACACTATTATCTTACTGCTTTATTAGTAATTCTTACACGACAAATATTACCTACTGGGCCGCCTCTGAGGCTCACATGCAACACCCGGGAATTATGCGCGACGTTCTGCTTGCTCCCGTGAGTTAGTATTGCCACCGATTCAAACTTTTCCACTTATATTGTTAGAAGCAGCATGGTTGCACTATCCAAGAGACTATCCTGAATAACAATATTGAAAGATGAACAGCAATTATAAACTAAGGTGTTGTGTGGCGCAAAGAAGATCAGACATAAATATGATTAACATGGGTGTCACATTGAATTTTGCATCTATCTGTATTATTCATTGGAATGGAACTTTGTTTCCGTCGGCATATATTGTTCGCTTTGCCGCTACAAAATTGTTCTTCATATTACTAAATCAAAAAATGCAATGCCATTTTGATAAAAGGAATTCAAAATCTATTTTGTCATGTTGCTATAGGCAACCACGTTTGTACAGACGTGGAGGCAATTGAATCAAATATTAGGTGCAAAAATTGAAGGGGTTGAAGGCAACACAAAAGTTAAGTTTAGTTTTTCCCAACAAAATTTTCCCCACTTCTAACACTATAGTATATTTTACGACCATATAAATAATTTGGCCTAGCAAAACTAATTGTAAAATATCTACTTTATGGATTGATTTTAACAGTTAAATCAAATACGCTAAATAAAAACAACAGATTTCGTCAACAATTGTTTCATTCACAGATTGATTTTGACATTTACTACTGAAGAGAAATAATATCTTAATTAAAATGAATTACACAAGCTGCACCCGAATTTGGTAGAAACCTTTCGGATAAAGCAATGGAATATGACCTACTCTAAATGTCACGGCAAATATGGCTGTGAACAACACGACAATATCAAGTCCTACATCGTCAAATACGGAAGTATCCATTTTTGGCAAAACAAAATCTTTAAAACGCTTTCTTAAAACCCTTCCTATACCGAATTTTTACAATCTCAGCATGATCTCCTTAAAAAGGTTATTATTTTATTTTTATATCTGGTACTTCACATACGGCCGGGCAAAAGACTCGTCTGCTGTATATCTGAGGATGCGTCAGATTTACTACACTCTATTGTTTGCATTTTAAATCAAAGCTCTTGACACAAAAGTTAACCGAGCAATACATGATTGATGGGATTGTTGCAAAGCGCAGTGTACACCGTTCATTAAGTTCTTAAATACCACACTGTTTATTACTACAACTTCGTGGTATACCCGATTTGATAAATGAAGGAGGAAAACGAGTGTGTTTTGTGAAATGTCTGAGTTGACAACTTTGGAACGAATGGCATATGCTTTTGTTAAAATTAATGGAGAAGACCCATCAGTTGTAGAATGTCGTATTGTCCACTTGGTTTTCCTCTCAATCAAGTAAGTAGACATAAATCCGCGTGCACATTTTAGACAATAATAACATTCTTGGGTTCTTTTACTAGAATGGAACATTTATGGAGTTAAATGGAGCAATTATTCTAAAGTGAATGCAAAAACATGTTACGCATCCACTAAGTGTACATGAATATATCAAGTAACATGAATTAAGCATAAGAAACTGATGGTTCCCGGAAACATAAAGTTACTTATATAATCACAGTGTCATTTGTTATACTTCAGATGTAATTCAGAGGTAAATTCTCATGGTCACTTATCCATCATGCAGGTCCGCAGCCGTCTTCCATGGTTAAGTGGAACAAGCTGCTGGCATCAGGAATAAATGGGGTGACAACCTGGCAGGTTTCGGAGAAATGTGCACCAATGACGAGACACAGAAGATTGAAACAGCGTTGTCTAATACATTTCCATATTTGTCAAAGGCTGGTGACTGAGAGTGGAACAAGAAAATTTACCAATGAATTCAGTTTGTTCACGCAATAAGGATACACTGCCAATGCTGACCTCATCTATGGTTATTTATCAGTTCAAGTGCGTTTGTGACGCTACTTATATTGGTCGAACGGCAAGGCACTTTTTCAAACGCGTGAAGGAGCACTGCCCGCGCCAATTGCGTCAAGGAGGAACTGGGGCCATTAGCAGCGCCGTTTTCGCCCATATTGTCGACACGGGACACCACGTCTATCTAAAGCGTGCCTTCAGGATAATTTAGAGGGTCCCCCATCATCAATCAAAAGGTTTACGCCTCCATGCGCTCGCAACAACTGAATCGATTTGCATTCGGTTTTTGCAACCTTCATTATGCTCGCAAAAGTAGTTGCTTCATGCCTTACAGCTTCCCTGGCCAGCTAGAACGAACGATACTGAGGTCAATTGCCACCAACCAAGCTCGATAACATGCAATCGACCAGTCAGATCAATGATCAACTTTTAGCCTCCCTCAATGATCTGTTAATTAACTATGTAACTTGACCCAGTTAGTCGATTTCAGTTCATTATTTTACTCTTAAATATGATTGTACTGGTCTGAAGAGAATCATCGAAAACAATTGTTCCCCTATGGTCTCGTGTTCTTTTAATTCAGTGAATCGTTTATTCTAAGGTTTTAAAGCATTCGTGGTCACCGATCTCTCCTTTTTGATCAGTGCTAATGTGTCCGCTAATCAAACATGGCAAACATAGTCCCATGCAAGCCTGAAGCTTACCTTCAGTTCTTCAATTTTCAGTGTAATTGTGCCTCCGAAATTATTTGTAATTCTCCAGATACATAAGGTGTTTGCTTCATGGATTCCTCTCCAGAAAATGATATTGGATGAGCTTTCATTCAACTCCTCTCCGCAATTTTCTACAAAAGCATTTCCGTGGTTTATGACTTAAAATGAACATTACAAAGTGACTTGACATACAACTAATATTTTCAGTGTAACCGTAGTGTAATTGTGCTTGAGGTATTGTCGCCCATTTCGTGTGCTTTATCACTTATACTAATTTCCCTAGGTTTATAAATACTAATCATCTAAAGTCAACTAATACCTATATTTCACAGCTCTTATGGTCGCTTTTTATCTGTTTATCTACAACAAGCGTTAAACTTGTAAAGTTATACTTTGTCGCCACTTCAGTTACCTTGAAATTGCAAGTAAACGTTATTAGCTACTTTGCTCGTTAGTATTTAGAAAATAAGAATGCAAATACGAAATCGTTGCTTATGTTGGCCATATAATTCACTTCTTATGATGTATTCGTAAGTTGCCTTCCGATAAAAGAAGGATCATAAACAACAGGCAAATAAAATATTTTATATTCCTTGTGAATATGACAGGGATGTTTGGTTTGTTACTCCTGATATTAAAGCCCAGTCATTGGTAATTCAGACTTCTACCTGGGAAGCATAATCGGATTTCAACTAAAAAGCCTACATTTCAAAAAGCCTAGTTTATTGACCCGGCGCCATGTTGGGAACAGTTTGTTCAGTTGACCGCATTAGCAAACGAGCAAACAATTATAATTATTATAATTAAATAAGCGCCGTTATTTTTCTTTCAAATATACAATATGTATTTCTAAGCAAAACAAATTATCCCTGCTTGCGGCAAAGGCAAACAAAACAAATAATTTGTAAACCTAAATGAGATGATCAATAAAATATGTACTCGCAGGCGTCAATCCTAAGGTTTTGATTGATTCACCGAGCTGAGTAATTTAATGATAAACGTTTAACCACTTCCGTCAGTGGCATCTTCAGTGCACTGCTCCGTAGAGGAAAATTTCATGGAACAGTGCACTGAAGGTGCCACTGAGGGAAGTGGTTAAACGTTTGTCATTAAAGTACTCAGCTCGAAGAACCAAGCAAAACGTTAACTACCAACCCGTGCTACAGGTATACCGTATCATTGCAAAGGTGTAAATTCTATTTCATCGTGAGAAACCTGCAAGATAAAAATATATTTGCATGTATAATTTAAAATAACCTATGTGAAAATTCATGTATAAATAATCACACCCATCAAAAACAACAGCGCCAATCTGTGTTCAGCGCTTTAAGCTGTTAGTAATAATGCTAATAATTCTGTTATTAACAAGAATACGGATAATAATGCGGGTAGTAACAATTTATTTTACAGCATAAAAACTAGATATTAATACAGTGTAGGCAAAGTTGTTTCGTGGGGCCCGCAAGCGTTAGTTCCGTCAACGGTTTTGTGGAGCTTAAAAGTACTTTACCACAGACGACTTCCTTTAATTCAAAAAATATTTGATAACTGCACTCCGAAACTCACGTCGCGTTACCTGACAGAGCCTTTAGTTCGAAGTTCATACTAGAACACTTCTCAAGCCGACAGATTGTAACCTCCATATCTTTAAGACTTATTTTAATTCATTCTCTTTTTTCAGCTCTATTCAAACCAAGTATATAATCGATTCGTTTTTTGAGACTCAAAATCTTCACATCTGGCTAATGCAAGCTGTTTCAATCGTTTAGATTCCAACCGGCGTTTTGTTAATAAACAAGCATTATACGCTCACAATAGCACGCATGAGTAAAACCTTATTAGGTGAGAGGCGTAACTCACTTAGTATGTGCTGATAAATAGGTTCGACTGAAATAGACAGAAGCAGAATGCGCTGTAATGTTGTCAGTTAGAAAAACTATCACAAAGCAAAACAGTCAGATGTAATAAGTTCGAGGAAACGGAGGTTGCATTATCCTAGTTCAGACACACAACTACAGTCCTTGTGTCTTCAGTTGTATTTTAATTTACCGCTTCGTATTGGTCCACTTTTAGGCCTTGACCCCAGCTTTATCTATTTAAATATGACGACCTGAATTTAAATTTGTTGTGCATTAAAGTGCGTCTAGCATACTATTCGCTGACAAGTCAACGTAATGCTACTTCTACAATCAGGTCTATGTTATAAGTATTCCAAGAGTGATTATAGTTAAAAGCTGAAATTCACAGTTACGGTACGGTAGATAGGTAAAAATTAAGACCAAATTGACAGACTGAATCATATTGCCCCAAAAGTAACAGCATTCCTAATGTGATACAAACGTGATAGCTAACAAATATGCTACAGATTCCTGTGTGTTTTGAGCTAGCAGCTAACTTTTGCGATATGATTAAATTTCAGGGATTCTTTTTCACAAAATGCCGTTACTCAACTCACTTTCGTTATTCCTTTTCCATTGATCTTGCAGCGTTTCTATCGAGAAGTTAATATATGCTTGTAATATTTATCACGACGGATTAATAGGCAGCGTAAACGAAAACGTACACACCTCAACCGTTATGATACATTAATCTCTGTTGCTCAGCCAGCTTGGTAGAAAAAATTAGCCTGACAAAATTACCAAGAACCAAATAAAATTATTATAGCCGAACGCAAGCACTGGCGGGGCTGGTTATCTGCTGAAAGTAATTGGGATTATCAAGTTTGTCAATTGGATTTCAAATGTTGCTCTAGAATGCAAGCTTGGGGAGTGATGGATCATAACTGCAGTCGGTGACTTAAAACGATAGTAAAGATAAAGCCAATTTTCTTTGTAATACCTGTAGCAAAGCAAGCAAAATCAATGAAAACTTTCCTGCATAGCACAGTCAGCTTTTGAAAAAATACACCACCTCTTAATGTATTCATCTACTACATATTTAAAAATACGTAAAACGTTCTGTTTAAATGCAAGTCAGTTGAATTTCGTGTGCGCAGAAAATGTACATGCGCTGCGACATCTGACCGCCACAAGCTCAATTTGCACAGCAATGAATGGAAAATAAATAGCGTAGCTAAATTCACAATGATCCATGAGGAATACAGACGTCATAACAAATGCACTTTTATCATAAACATATAAATGTTTTGGTGATAAAATATGCAGGACGTGGTCGAAAATCAGTGAATATGAGAAGCACGGAAATTACCGTCTTGTGAGCTATCACTAGGCACAAGCTGGATACTAGAAAATGCGTTAAGAGTAACAGAAAGTGAACGAGTTATTTTATTTGGACTACGGTAGGATAGGTATCCAAGTTTCTATTAGCAAACATAGCCATGCGGATCGATTACAGAAAATTGCGTTACCAATCAAGCGGTTGAACTAAAGAGCATTGGTAGACTGCGGTCGACAGTAATGTATTAAAATCTCATTGCAAAAGAGTGCCGCACTGTCTTAACCTTAACGCAATTTGCAAGTCTGCAGAAGAATAAGCAATTGCTCTTAACAGCTGAGATATTAACGACGTTATGTTTGTAGTAGCGTTGAAATGTTTTAGCTCGGAATATCAAACTACTGAAGCTATCACAATAAACATTGCTGTGGAAAACATAAAATAAAACGCACATTGACACCTATCTTCAGGATGCAAAATAATTGTTAGTGTAGGCTTTCAACACCGCATTTAGTATTCATTATTAACGTTCACAATTCATCCCGTCTCTTATAAACTAGACGAAGAAAAGTAAGCCAAAGTTAAAATAAACAATTCTTTCACGTGGGTAAGCAGCACTGCTTTACAACTTTGTGTGGATATTCTAGTAGGCTAATAAACAATTAGAAATGTTGGAGTCATTTAAATGTCAGTTGAGGGATTGTCGTTTGTTCTGCAAGTTAAGCGACCTCCACGTATATTTCGAAGGTAGGATGGTGACATATTGCAAGTAACAGCTTTTAACTAAATGGATGTTTCATCTAGCCGTATTTTAAAATACTTTTAGTGCCAGTGCAGATATGATCGCTTCCGAGGGAACAGGCCATACGCCAGTGGAAAAGAATTTCCTGCGGTAACCCAGACCACTACAATTAACTGCGAATTTCAGTGCGTTAACCCTTAGATTTGTGCTACTGCTGAGTTAAAGTAAAGAGCGACACACCTGCTGCGGGTAGTGCAGAAGCGTGTACACCATTACTAAATTGCCAAATAATCTGCCATATCGTCCACTGAATATCCCAAATCATTTCAGTCTCCGCACTCATAGTAGATTGGGTATTCTAATGGCGCCTTTAATGCCTAAGGTTAAGGCTCCTGCAATACAAACAGATTGTGTGTCAGCCATCGAAACTAGATTATAACCGAATATTCTACATGGGGGTAAACATCTGGACTGTGCACTTTTCGGAAAACAGTGGTGTTAGTTTGACCGAACAATCGTCGCAACACCCGATGAGTTAGTTAATAGTTTCGGAGCTTTTCGTATTGCCGGGTACATCGCAAGTCATCCTAGACCAAAAACATGAATCACGTTCGAAGAGAGATTGCTGCAGTATATGCTTTCTGGGCCTGTATGCATAGTTCATGTGTATCTGCGTATAGATTAATTTACATTTACGAGCAATTAATAGCAATAACTTGTTGACTTTTCCGTGATGTACTTTGTCTAGTTCACTCTGAAGCAGACACTTTTCCGCATTTACTTGAAACCTGCGTTAACTTTTAATGCCTTTTTCAAACATTGGAAATGTTGAAGCGTTTGCCTGTGCGAAGTCATTAATATAAACCAAAAGTAACCTGACCATAATCTGAGTCTTGCAACCCACCCCACTCTACTTGTATGGGGTCCGATAAACAGCCCCGAACTCTGCCCAGTTATTTCAGTCAAAAGCAAAACTTGATAATCCAGTTGGGACTGAGTCATCGATCACGAAATAATGGAGCTGGGACAGAGTATCCGATAAACTAAACCATCAACTGCCTTCGAAATTCCAGGTAGTTCACATAACAGTCTTCCCCTGTGTCAGCTAATTCGGTCCAAATACTCAGTGCTGTTAATAATTCGATGTGCACTATCCCTGTCGACGAAAGTTGAGCTGCACTACAGTTCCACTCTTGTAGCTTTCCAGATAGCACACCAGCTATTTCGCAACAATTTGTTCCTTACCATTGAACAATAAAAGAAGCGAAGACACTGGGTTGTATTTTGAAGGAATAATTCTGCTTCAGCCTTTGTGAGTAGTTATTATTTCAAGCTCCGACATAGTTGCAAAGGCCCAAATTTTTCAAAGCAGAGCTGGTAAAACTGAGTCAGCGATCCTGTCATTTGTTTTGATGCAGCTTTCCGTCTAATCTGGATTAGTGTTATCTACCTTCTTTGAGTTGTGATGTCAACCTCTCCAATGTAGCTTCAACGGTCAAATAATGCAGGTGATTCCTTTAGGCAAGGCGGAAAGATCTGGTATAATACTTGTTAGCGAGAACATATTAAAGGAGGCAGAAACTGCATTTACAACACGTTAGCCGCTTATATAACTGCTCTCGTTGGGTCACAAGTCGTTATGAGTGATGGAAATCCTTGTTTCTCATGTCGTATGCCATTGACGGGCTTGTGTGGTAGCTTGTGCGTTGCGCTGTTGGTTTATGCTATGTCTGGTTGTAATACTGCTGTCTTTTCTCAGAGAAGTTGATTGCATTAAGTATATTGGCAATGACTTTGTAACGCGTTTATGGTGGGCCAAGCATTTTAAGCAACAATTTCATTAGCCGGCATCACAGATGAGTTCCCGTCCTTAAGTCCAGAGCGCTCCCTGGTGTGTAGTCGCTTTACCACCTTCTGAAGCTGAGGTTGCACATGAGCTTCGCATCATAAAGCCCTACGAAGCACTTGACCAAGATAAACTTTCTCCGGCTCCTCAAAGAAGGAGTTACATCACCTTTCCAGGAGTTGACTTCTCTCCTCCAAGCGATCCAGATCAGTGAATGTATCCCAACTTAGTGAAGCCTGCCCGTCTTCAAACGTATACCTGAACAGATTGCCCCAAACATAGAGGGCTTACTCGTCTCTATGTTGCTTTCAATGTGCTCGCAGCTCTGTTTTTGAGAAGGCACAGGCTGATGAGCAAACAGAGCATATGTAAAGAGAATGGTGGGTTCTGCTAAGGTCAGATTTGCATCGATCCCATCTTCACACTTCACCGAATACTTACGCGTCGTCAAGCATTTGGCCGGCCAACGATTTTTGTCTTCTTAGACATTCGATCCGCAATTCGCTCAGTTGACAGAGCTTTTCTCTGGAGCTGCCTACTGAGTAGTAATGTGCCCGAAAGCATGTCACCTCACTTCAAGCCATCTCTTCTCAAACCACGGGTCAAATGAAAGTGTATGGTGGACCTGCCCTGCAGTTTAATATTACTATTAGAGCGAGCTTGGGTTGCCCAGCATCCCCTTTTTATGTTTACTTTCACCATGGATGTAATCCTGGACAGTGCATTGGTGAACCTCGAACCCAGCAGCGTCGAGCTTCTTCCGGGCGAGCGACTTCAGGATTTGAAAAATACAGGAGACAACATCTTTATCTGCGATTACTCACAGGCCCCCAAATGTCCTGCGTAGGTTGGTGATGTATGTCTCCCAGTTTGGAATTACCTTCGCACGATCGAAATGCAAGGTATTCCTGCAGGACTGACTAAGCATTGCTCCATTACTTGCCATTTCAGCTTATTCAACGGAAGTGCTACACACGTTTGTCTACATCGGAAGCTCCCTTAGTGCTAATGGGTTAGTGATTGAGCTCAGTTTGCACGTTTACAAATCTAGTTTTGCTGTTTCCAATCTCCGCCATCTCCAGCGTCGAGCCGAACTGAGTATACATCAGAAGAGCCGAGTTTACAATGCCTCAGTGAGAGCGGTTCCACACTATGGCTGCGAGTCTTCGACTGTTCGGCTAAAGGGTGTTGAGTAGCTGTCTGCTTTCGATCACCGTTGCTTTTGGAACATTGATGGTGCAAGTTCGTAACATCACAGTAGCACTGAAAATGTTTGACGAAGGATTTTCAGATCGGACAGACGCAGCCGGCCACCGAGCAGAATAGTTACTGTGCCCAAACATCAATGGCTTTGGCATTTTGTTCGCATGCTTACTCAAAAGTCGGCTAGAAACCAAAGCTAAATGACCAACATATGACTTGGACCAGGGGCTTGAATAAGCGAATGTCAAATTTAGCCGTGGTCGGTTGCCCTCGGATTCCTATCTGGCTTGTGAAGGATCGGGAAAGAGCAAAGATGGAAAATCGTTCGAATAATGCAAGAAGCCATGCACCAGGCCGGATTTGTTGTAACTCACCACTGCAATGAACACAGCTTTTCCCTTTCTATTCGTTTGTTAATTTCAGGCTTCATAGGTTGTGGCACTATGCCAATCCTACTATTGATTGTGTTTAATATATATATATATTAAATTTTACCACGATTTGTCGTTTGCGCTAAGCCTAATGCCTGCCATACTATGTTGTGTAATACCATTATATTTCAAGCTCTGTTTCTAAAAAGAAAGTGATATATATTTACTGCAATCTTTTGTATCTAAAACATCTTTAATCACCTGACTTAATACACTGACGAACTTGAGCCAGGCGACCTCCAGGGGTTCGTTTGCATGTAATGACTAGGTTGTGGCGCCGCCGAGCTGGAATAATCCATTGGAGTATGTGATTGTTCGCACAGTGTCAGTAGTCTTATTCCGATATTTTGCGTAGCAGACAAATTTAAAACTAATGGCCTATTGATCACTGCTTCCCAAATGACCATCTGTGGTATTGTTCTTATGCACAAAATCCAGCATATTTGCTCTGTTACCTTATCCGAACCGAATGGAGAAGTGACGATTGTAAAGCGGAACATCAGATCGGCTTTGAATTGATCTCAGTGCTTGGTATGTGTTTTAAGCACCCAACTTTGAGGTCACCCATAATTATGATGTGAGTCTATCTTCTAATTGAAGTGTCCTTATTCAGTCACAAACGGACAGTCCGTTTCTGGTGTACAGCTAGACGGGTGCTGCACAAAATACCTAAGACTGGTGTCTCTGCTACTTAACTGCGCTTGGTAACAAAGCAAATCGACTAGCTACGTGTCTGAGTACTCCAAGACCTTCCACTCTGATTCGCTTCGATAATACAGAATTACGTCTCCCCTTCTTTTGAGTCCGCCTTTTGGATGAGCACTATGCCCGGTAGAGAAACTTTAGCGTCGTCATTCCAGCTTGTGCCTAAAAATGTAGTACTACCGATGATATCCTATGACTGGGTAACATGGGAAAATTTCATTCCGATTAGCTAATGAAAAGCTTTATTGAATGTTTAAACGCACAGCCAAATTTCTAGCTGCATTGAGGAACACCAATGCTGTAAGGGGTCATGTATGTTATTAAGCAAAACCACTTGTGGTCAGACGTTACTAGTATTTAATAGGATATTAAACCTCGTCATTAACTTGATGTGCTTAAGGTGCGTACCAATCTGCTTTATCCCTACATCAGCTTTGAATAAAAGAGCAGTCAAGTGAAACTTCTTTTCTTAGAGAGTAGAAGTTACGATTAAAATTCGCACACAATAACGTGCCTCGACGGGGAACCGAAATTCGGTCCACGAATCCCCGGTCCGCTGCTCTACCACTGAGGTACCGAGGCACATTATTTTGTGTGAATTTTAATCGTGACTTCTACTTTCTACGAACTTTACACTACTCACATACAACTACAATAACACTTCAGTATTATCGCCGGTAGGTTTTCTATTTTCTATACTTTAGATCTACATTTTACAGTTTCGGCAGTGTCTAACAGGAGTTCAGAGGAACGTATTTCCAGTTTCCTCGCCATCAATTCAAAAAGTCTATTGCTGTTTATTCTGACTGAACCAAAAGTGTTAGGATTCTTGGACCACATTTTTTAGAATTCGGTGGGGGTGGTAGCTAGTTGAGCGGTTTGGACTACAGCCATGTTACAGCAACAATATATACGTATACAAGTGTATTCATTTTTGTCAAGCTGCTGTGTGCATTAAAATGGTAAGTGACGTCAAGTTAGCTATGTATATCTGGCAAAGTGAGTGGTGTATACTTAGAGACAAGTGAGAACATTGGCTTACCTGGTCTGTAAATGAGCTTAAAACCGGCTTTCTGCATTTCATAATCGCTGATGAATAACAATGACACTCTGTTTTGCTGGGAGCTAAATGTCATTTGGTGTTTTTGGCCAAACGCAACTCCAAGTCGTGGTGCCAAACAATCCGGACCGTCAAAGATTATTAAATAGTCGAATAGGTATCGGTGGTTATATTCCAACTACAATAACAAAGCGGCATATCTAAACTAATTTTTATCGGCAACTTATAAGCGATAAAACTACATATATTAAACCAAAAGATAATAAAAGTTGAACGACCAGTTGCTGAGCTAAGGTGATCAGAAAGACTTGCATAATTAGTAACGAACAGCACAAATTTGATTCTTCTTTCAGTATATCCTGTGCTCAAAATTTAGTAGTACAATAGTGGTGCAACATCGATGCAGCCCTTGGATTTTACTGCCGTTACTATAACGTTCACCAGTTCGACTTTGGTGAGTGGAAGTTTAGAACCATAGATTTGTTATACAGCAGTAAAATATTGTTTAGCACTATAACTCAGCCTCGAGTTGCTTACCCTGAATAGCAGGCTAAATCTAATAAGCGAAAGGATTATTTTTAATGCGGACCGAGTGAGAATAGCAAAACACATGTTTGAATGGTATATTTAAATAAAGTAGATATTGGTGTGCCATATACAATGTCCACCACAGACATACTGCATTGACTCCTATGATTATGAAAAAGTAGTTAGTTTACTGCTTGAATAGTAATATAGCCGGCGTGATTAATACAGGACAGAGCGGACTTAATAATACACCGAAGGTTGCCGGGTCCATCATTGTTAGTAGATGTCTTGCAGTGAGATCCCAGCGTTGATGATCGCGTCGGTCAGCCGGGTATTGGTTATGGTTATAATGTATCATTCACTACGCTTGATTAGATTAAGTCTAGGCAAATTTGACGAGAGGCTTAGGTGCTTGCACGCAAATAATTTCGACCTGTGGATGCCAGTGTCTTGTCTAATCACACAATATATCACAGGATTTACTGTCAACGTTTGTAGGGACTCTAACGTAGTATTTTAGGTGAAATTCTGACCATAAAATCTAGGCTCTTTCAAAGTGGTGCACATAGCTTTCACAATTAAGAACCCCAGTAAAAGCTTATAGCGGAGTGCCTGTTTCACCTCCGGATGGAAGATGAAAGGACCGTGATCGGATTCAGAATTACTAGTAGACTGATTGTCAAAATCCTTCGCTGGTATCATAATTTCTCAACAATTGGTGGCATAGATGCAATCACATTCAGATGCATATTCTTTGGTATTCCAATGCGTAACCTGTACAAAATTGTTCACCCATTATAAATAAAGTATAACTCCTATGATTATTAGATCATCTATTTTAATTGTATGAATATGTATGAATTCGGCGTTCATCTGAAAAACAAACCGTTGACTTAGGCTATGCAGATATGTATAGCGTCACTAATTCAAGTTATTGGCTTTGACTGGTGACCCGTCGGAATGTTGTATTTCAGCTATACCATGAACAAGCATGCATTTTCGCTTGAATTTGTCTGGTAGTGCCCCTGTTTTCTCTACAGATGCCAAAGCGCAAAATTTGAAAGTCAGGAAAATTAGAAATATCGCTTAGTAATACGTGCACATGGTGAGCTGACCATATAAAGCATCCTACTTGATAACGTGGCTGACATATCACCAGAAGTAACCTTCGTTTAAAGAACAATCTTTGCGAACCAAGCTTGCCCGTTTAGCATGGACTCCCATTCAATGGCACATTAAATCACACTGTTTCAGAAGACCAAATTATGCGATGGATATTGTCACTGACTCAGGTTTATTTAAGTTGATTATACTATTCGGTTTTGCGGCTTGCCAACGTTCACAATATCGACCGGGGGTGTTCTTTCTCTTTCCGAGGTGGACATGGGCGACCTTCTATTTGCTAATGTAATGTTAAGGCTGAACGCAACAAATTTGAATTTGGACGCGTATTTGAACGTTTTTATATTTTTACATGTTCAGAAGAAGTAAACCTCTAAGAATGTGTGCAAGATTTCGGTAAAAGCGAATATATCCGCATAAATTGCTGCAGGGTGTGTCGAAGATGCACTTCATGGCCGACGACTTAACCTAATACTGGGGATATGAACACAGTGGTATTTTCCAGCCGACCTGCGTCTCCTAGCTCCCACATAACTTATTCTTTACCAGCAACATTACGTTCAGTTTGGCCAAGTATAACTGAATGTATTGGGCTTCGGCAGCTGACGTAACCGATCCTAATTTGTCCATGTCATCAGGATAATGGCGCTCTGTATTCGTACAGTTTGTCGCACTGCTCAGTCATCACTGCAGTGCCCCTTAAGTGTGGGATGTGCACTGATCTATTGGCAATATTCTCCCTTCCTTACAACTCCGTTTCACCTAATTAGACTGTTGGTAAAATGTGCATGCTACAGTTGCTGCAAGCTAAGTCAAATCGAATAGGCCTGGAGCCTGATTTCAGATTGCCAATGGTATTTGTCTGCGTATTTATGGAAAATGTAGGCCGTGTTCTTTGTGCTGTAGAGTTTTTGAATAGCTGATATCCAGCGTCAGCAACGTCTGGTTTATAATCATAATTTAGTAACTCGCGAGTCTGTGAATCTACCGACGAAACACTGGTTAATGCTGTGCACACGAACAACTGCTTGACGTTTCCCGTATGGTGGTTGGGATAAAAATTGCAAGCTAAAATCAGTGTCGATAATAGCAAGCGCAAAGTGCACAACTCACTAAGATTTCGGGTGTGGCACATGTATGATTGTTACAGCCTGGAGTTTAGGAAGATTTTGACAATTATCCAAACTTATTCTGCGCTAATGCCCTCGTCTGAAGGTCACGAGGTATATCATGTAGTGTAAACGCGTCAAGGTATCGTCAGAACGTTTTACAAATGGTGTTATGGTGAGGGCATCAATAGCATTTTAGCTATAGAACTCCAGAGGTATGGCAATTTGAGGGAGAAAACATTTCATTTGTAGTACGGCTGGCAGTACTGCATAGACATTTCAAACTGATGATGACTTAGATGTTATTTGGCTAATTACTATTAACTATTAATCTGTTAGGAAAGACTGAGGCTCTGAAAGGTCCGGGCGCCTTAGAAGGACGCCAAGATGCTGGGTTGCATTCTGTTTTTCCTTTACAGTTTGTCTCAACTATCAAAGTTTTGGTTGAACCATAACGCCGACATTGCATTCGTGCCATCGCTTGGAGGTTGGACCTTGCCATGGTGCGATGCTTTGTGTTCATCATTGATCCATTGAGCTATGCTGGGTGCTGCTTTTGCATATTCATGGCCACTCATACCAGCTTGGTCAATGGTTAGAAGCCAGACAAACAGCTTCTTGCTACTCTAGGTTGAGGGTTGGAATGAAGATGGCTCCTTATTCTTTAAAACGGACTCCTTGTAAAAGATTATCAAACCCAAATGCTTTGCGGCCAGGCGGTTATCCAAAGGCTTTGTTTGAGAACCCTGACCATTTTCTGTCTAGGCTTGTGCAACCTGACAGTATCCTGCTCACGCAATACAATGAATCTCTCTTCAAACAACTACGTGATGCGCTGGCCACCGCAGAGGATCCTCAACTGTGCTCTAACTGCTGCATCGAGCAGGGTGGATAGGGGATTGGATGACACTTTTTAAGCTTTCCCGTCTTCTTATTCCCCTCTTACGCATTTGCTCGCATATGGTACCGTCATAAATTCACTTTAATCGCCCCAGTCTTCAACCCTCAGATCCTTGGTCTTAATCAACAAGCTTGATGAGGGTTTCGCATCAAGTTTCAACTCACATGCAAAGGAGGTGCGTCACTCCTGACCTGTCGACATGCTTATGTCCAACCAGGCGCTCCAGCTCAGTTCACTGGATTCCATTTGGAACCCTCGATCCTCCTTCCTATATTCATGCCGCAATGTACGCACATAGCTAAAGATCGATCAAAAGGCAGCACTTGCCCGAACATTCGAGACCCGCTCGATCGATGTCTGCTTTTTATGGGAGACCGGCTGGCAAGGCTCGAGCTCTATGTTCACTATGCAACCCGCTTCAGGTGACACAAGCAGTATTTCCTCATTGCGCCTATCCGGTGACGATGCACCTTCGAGCACCGGCCGAGCTGGTGCTGGCATTGCCCTTAGTCGACGGGATGAAGCTGCTCTGGTTGATTGGATCCCTGTCAGCAGCCGGATGTTTACTGTCCGATTGTCTGACTCGTTCAAAGTTTCGAAGTCGCGCGGGACAAACAAGTGTCTGTTCATCATCGCTGCCTACGTGCCCACAAACTGTAGCGATGATCCGGTAACAGACGACTTCTACCGTAAACTGAACGAGATCCTTCGCCGCAGAAGAAGCACGGACATAGTTCTGCTGGTTGGAGATCTGAATGCTCAAGTTGGAAAGTTGTCCACTAATGAAATACATCTGAGCGGTCATCGCGGCGTAGGTTGCCGTAATGATTACGGTGAGCGGTTAATTCATTTGTGTGAAGATGCCCGCTTATTTCTTGTGAGCACTAATTACAGACAAAGCACCGACCGGAGAGTGACTTGGTGACCGCCAGCCTCGAAAAATCCTTGGCCGCAAATCGATTGCATTGCAATCAGTTACCGATGAAGAGGCTGCATCTAGTACTCTCGCTCGATTTAGGACAGATGTGTGGACACGAACCATGCACTTGTATGTGCTGACATGCGGATGCGTTTTGGTGGAAGCCCACGAAGAATCTGTGAGCTCATTGACACCAGCCAACCGACGAATACAGCCGTTCTGAATGCTTATCAAAGTACGCTGACAAACGAGTTGATTAAGCGCTCACTGGAGACAATTGAAGGTCACTGGTCTCATATTCACCAGATCTTACTAACAGCAAGCAAATTCTCTTTCGGTAAGTCCAATAGCCAAAATAGATATTGGATCTCTTCGTGTTCCGTAGAATTTATCTATGTTTCTCGGCATATTCCGGTTGGAACAGAACACAATGAAACTCTCAAGGGGCTCCAGGCAAAACTCCGTACTAGCCGGAAGAGAGACAGCGAATCATGGTGGTCTTTTCGCTCGTCAGAGATAGAAGTAGCCGCTGCTTTTTGTAAGCATCAAAACTTATTCAGTCTGATAAGCGAAGCTGGCAGCAGGAGACTTGGTGTTAA